CTTTTTAACCATAAGGAGAGAAGGACACATGGATCCTGGGAGTTCCCGTTGACACCGTTTAATGTAACTAGGTCTCGTCGTGGCGATGTCTAGCCACGTCTTCTATATATGGAATCTGATCTGGGTGTCCGGGATTCCCAAGGATCACAGCCTCAACGTTCCTAACCAAGATCAAATCAAAAGAGCCCTCTGAGGGCCATCCCACGTCAAAAGTGGTCCACTCTAATTCACAAAGGTTTCGGAGGGTCCCTGGCTTGATGGAGACCCCAAATCCTGAAACCCTCTTAAATCAGAAAAGTTATTCAGAAGACATTGCAAAGGGATGGTCGGGACGGGCTGGCCCTGCCCCATTTTCAAGTCCTGTAAAAAAGATTACTCAAGTGTCAGATCAACAAAACAGACGACAAAACATCAACAAGACAAACGACAGACGACAACAAGATAGACGACAAAACGGACAATCTAAACAAACGCACAACCTAAACAGGAACTGAGGCCGGGAGCGACGTCTTGCCCCCAGACCGGAAAGTGGCCCGTATGCTGCGTCCAGCAGGCTTTTCTTTCCGATACCAGATCAGCAGATATTCAAAACAGATGGCGGGTAACCGCCGTGCGCACTTACCGATTACTCCTCTCTCGGCTAGTCAGATGTCCCACCGAACCGGGATAGAGGCATAAGATGCCTATGGGCCCATCCCTGGTGTCGGGTGGAGGCAAGACCGATAGTTTCAAGATCTTGCTGGGGTCTCCAAATGTTGTGTCCTGCGGTTTTACGGATGAGACCAGAGACCAGTTGGAATTTTCGAGATGAGGTTTATTACCTGCAGGGACCACACTCGTTAGAGTGCAGTCTCGAGCAGAATGAAAGCAGCGTTTTTATACTCTTTTACAACTGTGCAGGTGCTTGAATAACAGCGAACAATCGGGGAAACCCACTGAGCCCCATTTGCACATTTTTCATGCTAAAGCAAGCGAGGGTACAAGGGCATAATGTCTGCGGTTATGCTGGAGTGTAGCCTGCTTTGTTTTCAGCCTTGCGTAGTGTGCACATTCGTTGGGGTTCTTGTTCTCACGCGAACAGGACACCCTGATCATGCTTTTTACCCGTGCTGAGCCATGCCCTGGCTGCATGTTCGATTAAGAGGGGGGTTACAACATGCAGCTCTGCCAATCCTTCTTCATCCTGTTCCACATATGGCCTTACGACCAGCCAGGGCTGCCCCCAAGCGCACTCTTTCTCCAGCATCACCTTCTAGGCTTTTAGGCTTAAGTTCTTCACAGAACTATTCTCATTAGAAGCAAGATATATGCTTCTATGCTTGGAGTATGAGGCAAGACTGAGGAAACTGGGTCTCTTCAGCCTGGAGGAGACCCAGAGGGGATATGTTGGTGACATACAGGTATATGAGGGGATGTCACATGGACATGGGTAGAAATCTGTTCTCCCCTGCAGAGAAAGGCAGGACACACCCCAACGGAGCAAAGCTCAGGGAACCAAGGTTCCATTTAGATGCCAGGACCCCAAGGGTGTGGAATGGCGAGAGGTCGTTGAGGCCCCATCGGTGAGGGTGTTCAAAGATAGGCTGGACATGCACATGGTGGGCATGTTGTGAGTGGAGCTGGCTGGAGCCAGGGTCAGACTAGATGGCCCATGAGACCTCTTCTGACTTGCTCTGTTTCTATGTTTCTAAGATCTCTATTTAAAGGAATCATTAATTCCAACAATTATAAGAATCACTAGGGCTGGAATGGATCATACCATCAGATCTGGGAGAGGACAGAAATATCTGGGCCAGTGACCTGTATGTTCTCTTGGGGGCAAATCATTCCACCTCTGTCAAGTGTAGTTCTTGGCAGTTCTTAAGTGATACAAGAAGGCATCCCTTTAGGGGACAAGGGATTGATAAATGGAGTACGTACTGGGCTAGTCATATCCATCTGTCAGGATTCTGTCATTTCAGGAATCAGTGAAACTAGGTTGGGAAGGTTGAAAGCCATGGCTTTTACTGTATTGTCTCTCTTATCTGGCCTGATAATGTCAGAAGAAGAAGAATACTGCTGCCTGCGTTTTGATTGATGTTTGCTGTTTACTGTGGTCATATGGTGCCATTATTGGCATAGTTTGTGTTGAGCTGTGGCCAGACTGATGTATCCGGAAAGCAACTGGCAAGGTAATGTGTGATTTGCCACATTTGCTACACTGTCAGTTTTAGACATACAAAATAATTTTGACTGCAAAATAATTTGTGGACTTCTTGCTGGTTACACTTTTTTACTCCTCCCAGCTTCTACCTGAAGCTTGTGCTAATTTATGGTTTTATATCCATGGGGAGTGAGCAGAGTGAGACATCACCAGTTTATATCATGCTGTGTTCAGTATTCTCCCTTCCCTGTATTTATGCCCTCAAAATAACCTCAGCATTGAATCCACAGATATTTCCGTTACTCTCTGTTACTCTCTTGGAACTAGATTAGATAGTTTCCATTGAGATTATCAGGTAACTATATGAAGGGCAGATCTTAGAAAAGCACTTGTTTCTCTGCTAGGAGTGAGATTTTCAAGAGATGTGTGAAACAAAATATGATCTCATAGCAGATTACATTAATTCAAAAATAGGACTGGGTTTTAAACCATGTTTATAATTTTGCATCTGTTGATAATATCACACCATGCATTGTGTCTTTAACTTAACACTGTGAAGAAAACATGAAGAGAGGAGACCTGAAATGGCAGCATCTCCCTCTTTCTCTTCTTACTATAGAATTGCTAATGAGGATTATAGTTCCCATTTTACCCATGAATTTAAATGGTGGAAAAAATCCACTCTGTTTCATTCTTTATTCCAGCCTTCCTCAACCTGGTCCTCTCCAGGTGTCTTGAATGACAAGTCTCATCAACCACTAGCCCACACAATAACCATAATGGTTGGGGCAGATGGGAATTGTCATCCAAAAAGTCTGATCACATTACATTATATGGCAACAAACATTCAGCCCTTAAGCAAAAACGAAAGCAAAGCCAAGATGTAGGATACCACTTAAGTCCAGAAATAACCAGTTGTGCTTCAAGCATAGGTCTTTGTCAGTGACTAGTATATAAAAAGGTATATGTAAAGATATAGAAAACAGATTTACATATTCAAATTTTGAGCCAAACATCTCCCACATACTGATAATCTAAAACACTGCAGTGCCTACACCTGTAATAAAAATTAAAATAAATAAACATTGTTTTAATAATGTTATTAGTTTACCTAGGCCCACCTCACTAGGGCAAGTAGCTTACTTTCTACCAGTAGATATACCCTGAATTGGGATGGATGAAGTCCTACTGGGCTTGCAGTGTTGAATGGTTTCTTTCAGTAGCTTGTCTCAACCAGTCCTTTGTTTATTTGGGATAGGTTCTGTTGAGAAGGAAAAAGATACTTGAGGCATATGAATTAGGAACTTGGAACAGATTGAATGTCTAACTATCTGGTACTGCATCCAGCTCCAGTAGTGGCCAGCCAAATGTATATGGGAAGCTCTGTCCTGTTCTGGCCATTCTGTAAACACGCTTTCTTCAGACCAATGGGATGTTGCTGCTAGGATACCCATCCAGCAGTGTCACCATAATTGCTAATGCTGTGACATATATGTTCTGTGGCAGTGTGGCATGGCATTTGCCACATTTTTTTGTCCTTGGACCAGCAAATACTCAGTATAGGATTGCATCCCAGTGTGGCTTGCAGTGAAATCCTATACAAGCTTAGTTAGAAATGAGGAATGGAGCTTTAAAAAATGTTTCCAAGGAAAGCTTTCCATATTTATGGGAATCCTTGTTTAAAAAACAAAAACACAAATCTACTAATAATTATTTGCATACTAATTTTACCATGCCAAACAAGGGTTGGTTGGTTAGATATATAGATGTTTCTTCAGCAGAGTTACCTTAAAAATGTAATTTTAAAACTCTTCCATCAGTCAATTTATGTTCCTAACAGCATGGAACAATGCATTTTCGGACGTTTAAAAAATGTCCATGGAAAGATGTAGCAGCTGAAACATTTCCAGTCCATGACGCTGTCTGCACCACACAGCCTACCAAAGCTGAATGACCACCCACTCTGTACATTGTCAACATTGTGCCATGCTTTTGGTGGACTGGCTGTTATCTGGATAATTTATCATGAACACAGATAGTATATTGCACTCTTGTACTCAGGTTGTGGTATAGGAAAGCTTATGGTGGAAGGCAAAATCGCGTGTTTTGTCTGTAATGTGTACTTTCAAGCAATGGATCACCAAAAGCATGCTGCAGTCCAGGGATTAATAGAACAAGTGCCTGGGGCTTTTGGACTGGCTTTTTGGCCCCGGCTCATTACTTTCCAAAAGGAGACGCCAGTTTTCAGAACACACTGACGTATATTTGATCTGGGGAAAGGACTGACCATCAATACCCCCAGTTTGGAAGTGAGAAGGTCATTTGGCAGCCTTTCTTGGGGATGCTATATTTACAGAAGGTGTGACAACCTCTTTCAGTCCATGGACGGAATTCCCTTTTGGAGAAGCTCTTGGGGGCTACATTCCATTGGTGGGTAGGGCTGAAGGAAAAAGGGGTGGGGTCAAAAATACCACTCTGTTCTCCTAGAAAACTATCACTGCCAGTAACTAATCCTCAGGAGAGGTGTTTCAGCCATCTAGAGTTGGGAAAAAACTGCACAAAAGCTAGAAAACCACCAAATTATTGATATTTGGGGGAAAGGGGGTGGAGCCAAGAGGAGGAGGCAGAACCTTTCGTGCATATCTGGAGGGCCAGGTTTGACCTCTGGTCCTGAGGAGTTGCAATGAATGCAAACACTTCCAGTCTCAACCCATGATCCTTTTCTGTTTTCCTCATATCCAGGTCCCAGCAGCTTTCTCTCAGTGTTCTTGATGCTCCTCATATCAATTGATCCTAACAAGGTGTCGCCTCTTGCACAGCCTTTTAGCAATCTTTGTTCTCACTCTCTTTATGGCAGGCAGCAGTGGCATATAGGCAAGTAGATTTGCAGGTGCATTGCCTGGCTTTCATCGAGAACCACACTCAGGTAAGCACAGGATATGCATGTAGGGTCTCCCATGCAAAGAGGAGGCAAAGCCCAGCAACTGCCCTTCTAACTGCAGCTGTCACTGAATAGATTAGGCCTTATGCTAAGCCAGCATGGCCCTCTTCCCTGTAGGACCACATTTGTTTATGTGTTAATTTAATTTATATTTCCCATTATGGAACTCAAGGTGGCAAGTATAGGCTTTCAGGCAGTCACCACCCCACACTGCTCAGACCCCCTGGCCTTAATGTTAGCAAAGTTGCTGTATTGGTACCATAAGACCACACCTTGGGATCACCTTGGCTAAACAGTAACAGGACACTACCTGTCCTCTATCATCCATCAAACCTAAAGCCACCCAGAGAGCCTTCTAGCTATGGGGGCAGCATACAGATGCAATCAATCAGAGGTTTCTGTTCCCATGGTACAATTGGGAATGGAATGGGGGTGGTGTTCAGTAGTGGTGTTGATGCTGTATCTTGATGGGGACTTGTATTAAATATCTCTCCCACAGACTGAACTACCTTAATCCTGAACTCTGTATCAACATACCACAGGCTCCTTACTTGCTTTTGAGACAGAGTTATTTTCTCCATCCTACTGCTGAACCGCATATCTTTTCTCCCCCAGGAAGTGGTGCAAACACATGGTTTTCTGGAGCTGTCCGAGCTGGCAATGCAAGCTATCCTGCAAAGCAATGGCTTGGCGATTGATGAAGTGAAGCTGATCCATGCTGTTCGCGAATGGGCTCATGTGGGCTCTGTAAGTGCTTGTTACAGTGGGAGAAAGGCAGAAGATCATACAGGGAATCTTAAAGATTCCACTCCCTCTTGTGAGACTTACAGAGCAGTATTTTGTAGTTATTGAATAGATTTTAGAAGCAAAATTCAAACTAAATTGTCCTTCCAGCATAGTTTATGACAGCCAGTGATGATAAAATGACAACATAAAAATATCAGTATAAAATAAATCAATAAATCAGATAACATGAACAAATAAAAATAGTAGCTAAAACAATTACCACACCATAAAGCATTCAAAAGGTCTTTAGATGTTACCTAAAGGCTAGCAAGGAACAAAAGCAAGCATATTTCCTTGGGAAAATATTGCAGCAATGTGGGGTGATCATAGAAAAGCCTTATCTCTGGTATTCAGCCTAAAAGAACCTGCTGATAGACAAGAGAGCAGGGCCTTGGGTGCTAATCTTAGATTAGCAGATTTCCAACCGAGAAAACATCTACTTTATCTTAATCAGTATTCAACTTATTCATCCAACACTGCCCACCTCAAGGTTTTTACCACCTCGGAGGATTAGAAGATGTGAAAGAAAGGTAGAACTGCTTTGTCATCCGCACATTGAGGCACCTTAGTTCTGTAAGTAATTGCTGACCTGTGTGAGGAAGTGAGCATTCACTTAGCAAATTGTTAGGAACTGCTGTCCACTGCCCCATGCAGCCTGCTGTGTCGCTATAGCTGTCTGCCCTTGAAGAACCTTCTGGACTAACTGCACCCAGGATGCCCATTGGCTCTTTCTTGGCAGGAAGGAGTATAACAGAACTTCCTGTCTCAATAGTCTACAGGAGCTCTAGTATGCCTTGTATTTTTGGTCCTGATTACTCCTCACTTGTGACCTCTGGCTAGTTCTTCAATCCTGCCTTTTGGTTTGCCTTTTGCCACTGATTGGTTAGGACTCCTAGTTTCTGTTCCTTACTTGAAGCAATGCCCATAGCCCAGACCTGACAAGCCCAAACAGTTCAGCTCACCAGTGCTCTCCTGAGGGAAAATATGGAGTCTTGAGGCACCCCAACAGCAAAAGGATGAGAAAAAATCCTCCAGTACCACCTTCCGGACCTGTGCCCCAAGCTGCTACAACCCAGTGCTGCTAAACCTGAACCGGGGCATATGATCAAAAGGATGCCATGCTTGATGGTATCAAGAACTGATGATTTGTCCAAGAGAACTAGCAGGGGTGTACTTCGGAGAAGAGCAGGACTCCATTCCAGGGATTCTGGTTCCTTCCACCCCGTTAATACTGTACTTCTCTTACGGTTTGGTGGTGACACCTGGGAATGAAACTTAATTCCCTTTCCTTTTCTCATAGCATATGCAGAATTGTGACATTCTAGAGTCAGAACCCCTCACGGCAGGAATGTTTCTACAGGTCTACCAACCCTCCTCTAACCCTGGCCTGATCCTGTGCTTGATTTTTTGCAGGCTGTGCTGGGTAGGTCTGTGCGTGACGTGGCAGGGGCAGTTGTACCAGGACTGCGCCTGGCTCTGCTCTCCCCAAGTGAGTTGACCACTCTGGAGGAAGATAACAGAAAGGACCAGATGATTCCGGTGAGAGAGGCGTCCAGCCTCAGTAGCGCATACTTTTTGCATGTGCTTGTGCATCCCTGTTGTGTGGGCCACCTCTTCTTCTACTCTCTCCAGGGGTCTGATTTGCTCCATATTTTTCCATTTAATCAGGGGTGGTGCTAGGTATGGAAAACATATAGGGGTTTGGCCCACATATATGCATATGCTAATTCATATGCTCTAATGTCTGTGTGTGTCTTTAAAGGGCCTGTCTCCTAAGGACTTTGCTATTTGTGAAAAGAGATGTATGGACGGGGTAGAGGCATATGCTTGATTTCGGGGGGTGGGGGAGACAAATATTTATTTATTTATTTGTTTGTTTATTGATTGATTGATTGTGTACCGTTCATTCAGCCAAATTGGCTCTGTGAATGGATTACACTCGATAAAATCCAAATATATTAAAACAGAGAAACAATCAAGAAATCATTGCAATAAAACAATAGGTAAAACTAAGCAAAACAATTTATAACATAATTAAACAAATAGATAAATATAAGATTCCAATAAAAACAAATACAAACAAGGACCAGAACAAGTAAAACAAAGACCTGACTTTAGATGTTAATAAAATGTCACTTAAACATTACAATGCTGAGTGAATACAAAAGTTTTTGCCTGGCACTGAAATATGTACAGAGTCATAACATCTCTGACCTGCTTCATGGGCTGCTGTGGGGATACATAGAGATGAAGCTCCATATACTGTCTAGAAGGAAGGGCAGGATTAAAGGTAATCCTATAAAACAGTCCAATCCTATAGAATGGCTAAGGATTATGGGAACTGCAGTCCAATACACACGGGGAGCTCCACACTGGTGAACAATGCTACATATGAGTAGTCATCACAACATAATTGTCTGACCATGGAATCTTATTTAGCTCAAATGGCACCATCTGTTCACAACGTTTACAGAAATATACAAAAATTTTCAGAAAATAAAATATTGAGGGACCACCTAAAAATGCAGCTCAGTGAGGGACTCAGCATGATCTGTGTTCACAAACTGCTGGCTGGCTAACTGTTGGAGACCACATTTGGAAAGAGAATGGGGTACCCTCAAAGAAGGCAGGTCTGACTGTCTGGTTAAAGCACGGGTGGTGGGGTGGTGGAGGTTGCAGGCCCCTGTCCATGAGGCATCCTCTCCCACGTGGGAGCCTGGTGGCTAAGCAGTGCTGTCCTGTGCAAACTTGTATTGCAGGTCCCATGTGAATAAGTAATCCAGTGCAATGGAGTGAGGACACATGGAGAGCTTTTTGATAAAGAGAGTTATTAACCGGCGACAGTCCAGGAGATAGGCTCAGTGACCTCGTGGGAGAAAAGAAGCCTTCTAACCACTTCCTGCCATTCTCACCCCCAATTCCTGATTAGACACCTGGATTTGGTTCCTGCTCAGGTTCATTCCTGCCCAGCACTGGCCTGTATACAATGCCTTAACTTCTGCTTCTGCTTAGGTGGAGAGTCTGGCTGAAGCCTGGAAGTTACATGCCTTGTGGAAGGGACGTGGTGGGCGATCCTCCTCGTGTCGGCGTCGGCGTGGCACGCTGCCCCGGGAACATCATCATCACCTGGACCCACAGCACAAGGGACATGGCGTGCTCTGAATGAGAAGGAAGCAGTGCCTCTGTGCCTAGCCCAGCCAACTTTGGTGGGAAAAATGGGACCTGGAAGCTGCTGCATACTTGAATCCTTCCGGGGCATGCAGCCTCCAGCCTAAATTGTTGCCCAGCTGGCAGAAAGAACAATGTGCGCAGGGCAAAGGCCATCAGAACTAAGCATGTTCCTTCCAGGCTGTAGCTGTAGCCAACATTTTGGATCTTGACTCCTCAGGCTTTTCTGCATGAGGCCTTTACTTCACACCACCAATGCTTTTGACACAGGCTTCTTTGTGGGATTAAGATCCAATTCTTTATGCAGTTTCCCCAGGTTTTTCTTTCTCTGCCTTTCTGTGTGTTCCATGACATAACTGCAAGATGGCACTGTGATATCGCACAACTATGCTAGGGTTTTAATTCCTCCATTTCCAGGGAATACCAGACTTTCCTTGAGTCAAAAAATATGGAACTGGTTGCAGAAGATGAGAGGGGTCCTGCAGAAGATAACATCATGTAAAGCACCTATAAATAACCTTGGGTGAGGTGTGCCCAAGACATGCAGTGTGTAAGAAGATGGCAAGTAGTTCTGGGCCAGTTGTCCTTAGCCTGGTGTCCTCCCAACCTGTTGGCCGGCAGCTTGTTCCCAGCCAGCATGGCCATCGAGATGATGGGTGCTGTAGCCCAACACTTGGGAGGCTCTCTCATCATCAGGCCTGCTTCAGTTTCAGATTCTTTCTTCATGAGACTTATTTGCAGCTGAGACATTGGAACAGAAGTTTTGAGCTAACTACATTAAAAATGCAGCAGCTCAAGTCTTGTCGCAGCCCTTGCCCATCCTTTATGAATCCCTGTAAAAATTATTTGTAGTTTGAAATGGTAGAAAGGCACCTGCTTGTAAAGAGTAGTGCACTTGGCCTAGAACTGGGTGTAACTTAGGTTGCCAGTGAATTGTCCAGTAACCATGGGCTTATTACAAAAGATCCAGGCAGGAGAAATGTGTTGATTTGTGCCGTAACCCATCTGCTGCTTGCCTTGAATGGTCTGAACCAGAAGAAAGAGCTAGAAATAGGAGTCTGGAAGGTCCTCTTGCTCTGTAGCTAGCACTGCCCCTGAAGAGAAGCTGGCAGACCATAGGAAATTCTGTGGGCTAGGCTCTCACAGAAGGAGGTTTTTGGCATCTGGATGCACTTCCTGACAAGCAGCCAGCTTCTCCCTTGAAAACTGCCATGCCAACCAATCTCCCAAATGCATCCCCAGTGCCACTTCTTCATGCTGTCTCCAGTGTCCAAGATAGTACGCCTTTGTATTCCAGTTGGGATAAATGAGGGTGCCATTGCTCTCATGTCTTGCTGGTGGCCTTTCCACATGGAGTTGGTCAACCACTTTATGAACAGAATGTTAGACTTGGTAGGTCTTTGGTCTGGTCCAGCATGGCTCTTACGTTCTTATGCCACCCCTGCCAAATTGCCAAAGCTCTGAGTACTACTTATGCAGCTTTGTCCCTCTGTATCAAAGCACAAGAGCTAGGATTGCCTTGTCTTTTCTCTTAGAAAGAAAAGGTTAATCACTGCGCAGCATCATATACTAATTCATTCAGTTTAGTTTGAAGTGCCTTATGCTGCCTAATCTTGGAAGCTAATTGGGGTCAGGCCTGGTTAGAATCTGGATGGGAGACTTGAGTGCTACATTGAGCAGGGGGTTGGACCCAGTGGCCTTCTAGGCCACTTCCAATTGCGTGATTCTACAATTCTATAAGTCTATGTACAACCATTTTCCTAGCAGGTAGTCAAAGTTTAAAAGTGATGAAATTAGAGGAAATTGTTTGGCAGTGGCCTTAAACTTGAGCTGAAAGTGCCTGGTTTAGTGACAATTTGTACAAATAATGTTTTGTTTCATTTTAAATGAAATATATCTCATTTTCAAAGAATTTAGTAAGTAAATAATGTAACATTCATATGTAATTGCAATCAACTTTTATGTCTTTTAGCATTTGCCAGTTAATCCATTGGTCAAGTAATGAGCAGAGAAAACAGACCAAAGAACTGCTTTGAAGTAAGCTATCTCTATTGAACTGAATTGATTAGTGCAAATCAAATGTCAGCTCCTTCCACTATGAGATGTTAATTTTCTTCCTAAATTGTTTCTGTTGTATCATATTCAGCCAGCAGAGAATCCCATACATTTCTTTTAACCTCCAGGAAACAGCTGCATAGCAATGTAGGTATCCGTTGATCAATTCAACCAGTACAGGAGTGGCAGATCCTGTTAATCCCTAACAAGGGCTCAGTGTGTAGGATTTTACTGTGTTGCAGCTACTGATACAATCTGTCTGCCACTCCTTTCCAGCGTATGCCAACTGTTCAGGCTGCCTTAGTCCCAGACACAGACCGAGGCCTTTCCTTGGTACTGTTTGTTTGGGTACCTGGTTGCTAGGCAAAGCTGAGAAAATGTGGCCTTCACCCTGTTGGAATGTACTGAGTCACCTGAATCCAGGCGTTGCTAGTATTAGCGTCTCTCTGTTGTGAGAAAAGAGAGTGGAAGCAGGTTTAGCCACCCTGAACAAAGATACAAGCCCTTTTTGTCCGACAATTGAAATACAGCTGGGAATTCAAACATGTTGACTACTTAAGTAAACTAAGGGCCATGTGATGAAACTGTGGAACATATTTGGTCTGGTTTAGGGGGCTGCTGAAGGGACCCAGGGGTCCAAACAAAGCTCAACCCACCTGTTTTCAAGAATGCTGTTCTTTAGTGGTGTTTCTTTTTAATAATCACATCAAGCTGAGATTACTTTTTACCTAAGTTAGAACAAGACAAACATCAGATACTAAAAAAGTGAAACTACAGCATAGTACTATACAACCATTTTCAAAGCAGTGTCCTCCTGACAATAGGCCATATCTATTGCAACAAAGTATTATCTAGCTTTAGCTGTCCAACCAGGGTTATGCAGCTTGAACCCAAACCCGTTCATCTGAAATTAAGTCCCACTGTGACTACTAAGGCACGAGTTTTTGTTTTCCCACTGTCTCAGTTTTTGCTTAAACACCTTGGTGGGGGCATTTTTCACTTTGCAGTTTGCCATTGGCTATGCTGACTGGGGATGATGGAAGTTTTAGTCCACCCATCTGAAAACCACCAGTTTGGGGAGGACTGATCTGAACTGAGTCCCCTTACTCCCTGCTTCTTAAAAGGAAAAAGAGCAAAGAAAAGCTGATCCTTATTGAGGAAAACAAACCACAGATCTCATTCTCACACACAGCTTTGCCCTAAAGCTTTTGACTTATGCAAATTATTTTTCATGCATGCGTGTTAGCTTTTAACCTGATTATTCTAGTCTACACAAAATATCTTGTGAAAAACAGAGTAAAAATCCACCCCCCTCCCTGCAATTCTTCTTGTTCCATATAATACAGAGAGAAGGAGTGTGTGGAATATTTTTACCTGAGAGTACATAGTTCTTTCAATAAACTTTGCACACCTTATATTAGGCAATGTCAAAACTATGCACACCCTGACTCGCAGTTCCTCCCTGTTGTTTTTCTAAGGCTAGATGCTGCATCTTTATCTCAAGACAGAAGGCTGTGTGGGTTGACCCTGTTGTTTTTGTGGGCATGGAAAGTGTGGCTTGCACAGATGATGATTCTGATCCTTAGGATAAGGTCAAAGATCTTGCTTTTTAGGGTCCAGGTCCATATGCTCCAGGTAACATCCACATTTACTAATTTTGTCTATGCTGGCCTCCTGCCAGTCATATGGTTGGAAGGGGCTGTAGGACTGGTGGAACTTCTCCAGTCTACATAATCAGTTTTCTGGTCTCAGCACAGGAGAGAAGGTTGTCTGTCCTTTCCAGAGACATTTCCGGCAGTGGTAGTCATATGTCTGATTGCAGCAGTTTCTGTGTGAGTGTACTCAAATTATCTTTTACTGGATCAGTTGAACTCTGGAACATGTAAATTTCTTTCTTATGCAGAATTCTTGATCAGGTGGACTCTGAAATCAGCAGTCATATTGCATGATTGCTTTCTTTATGACTATTATGTCATTCATTCCCTCCTAAAAGAACATGTGTTAAAAAGGAGTGCTGCAGATTTCCTTTTAGGAAAGGAACTAAAGGGGATTGTAATGGAGTAATTGCGCTCATTTGTGACTCTTTGTGGTGTAATTTGACTTTGGAGTGCAACAAGTTTTCCAAATAGGGTGCTAATTTGCATTTCTAGCCAGTAATCACATCCTGAGGAGACAAGAGTCACTGAACAAGACAATCATGCTAGGGAGAGTTGAAGGCAGGAAAAAAAAGGAAGACCAAATACGGATGGATTGACTGCACAAAGGAAACTACAGCCTTGAGTTACAAGAGCTGAGCAGGGCTGTCACGGATAGGACAATTCGAAGGGCTTTCATTCACAGGGTCACCATAAATCAGAGGACACTTGATGGCACATAACAGCCAGTCATGCTCTGTTATATACCTAATACTGCCAGATGGAGAGTCCTGTATAATTTTAAGCCTTGCATATGCAAGATTCTTCTGCTAACATAAATTAGTTGGACAAAAGAGGTTGGCCCTGATGCAGTAAGGGAGGTTCTGAGGACTTTCATGCATAGATACAGATTCTCTTGCTGCACACAATGGTGTGAGACATGAACTTTCCAGGAGTCACTGCACCTGCCAAAAGGCAAGGCGGCATACAACCTGTTTCTATTGCTAGAAGGGGAACTATGAAGCTTAGGTGACTTTAGTCACCTGACCTGAGAAAACTTGGATCCAGGTTGCTATATCCCCTCATCAGAATTGGGGTCTCCAAACTCACCAAGCAGGTGAGCAATTTGTCAGAACTGTTTGTGCCAACCATCTGATCTCTGGGTCAGAGCTGTGTAAATAATTGTGGTTCTTGGTGCTTCTGCAGACAGAACAAAACTGTGTGTGTGGGGGGGGGGGGGGGGGGAGGGTGACGGGGGAACCAGTCAATGACTCTTTTCATTTACAAAGTTTTGAAATTAAATATGGAGGAATGGGTGGGAATTATACTTTCCTCTAAACATGAATAGGATTATGCCCTAAAGGT